GGGCCTAAATAATTCGAATAGGGTTTTGGGGGCCCATTATACTATAGTTATAATAAGGAACCTCCAAAATAGTATAGATAATGGTTTAGGCCCCTATAATAGATGGGCTGAGAGTGTAGCACCCAACTCGCGATGACGTAACTGAGCTTTCGGATCCCTGGCCTAAATCACATGAGCCTCCGGTTTAGGGTTCAGGGTTTAGGGGTGGGGTTTAGGGCCAGGGTTCAGGGGTGGGGTTTAGGGTTCAGGGGTGGGGTTGAGGGCTTCGGGACATAAGCCCATCCAGAACAACAGCTCCGTGCGGACGATGGTGGGCAGCACGGCGTTGGTGCGGATTTGGTGCGGGCCGAGTTCCTGAAGCTTGCACTCTGAACTCTGAACTCTAGAGCAAATGCTTAGCGCCCAAACCCAAAGCCCTCTTAAAGCGATCTTTTGCTGCCCCGCGATAGGCTGAAGGTTTTGACTACAGGGGTAGTTCTCTAAATTAGGGTGTCTTTTTAGGTCCCAAAGCTAGTACGGCACCCTTCAACAAGAAGCCTACAAGGGACCCTAATTTAGAGGGCCACCCCTTTTTCTAGTCCTATTGCAGCTCCTTTTGTTGGCTAGCCTGTTTTCATGGTTAGGATCTTATGTTATAGCTGAAATTTGGATCACCAAAACCAGGGACTGCAATGCGGACTACATGGCTTTCATCCTACACGTGACATAATCAGCGGAGTTCGATGATCATAATAGACTATATAGATTATTTGCTTTCGATGGCCTTAGGTTTAGATGCTCGTATGTGAACACCAACCATTGAAAGTGCGATTTATTGGTTGCGGTTGGGTTTGCTGGATGCACGGCATAGAGTATCATGAAGTCAGGCACGGTGCAGTCTTTCGGGGGCGCGGTTGCAAGAACTGCGGCTCTGGTGTGCGCGGGGTTTTCTGTATGGAAGCGCCTCCATGTGTTTGGGTTTAGGGTTTAGGGTTTATAAGAGCTCAGCGACAACCATTGTGAACCACAATTGAAGTCCTTATACGGCCGACTTGGGTTCAGGTGGTGCGTTTTTGGGTCTTGTGGATGGGTGAATTCACCTTCCCAGCATGACGGCCAGACTAGATCCTCCATAATCTGGGTTCTTGTTAAGGGATTTAAACTAAGTTACAGTAATTAGTGGTGATCTATAGCAGAGCAAGTAATATGGTTTCTTCTTTCTTATATTTAACTTGAACTAAATCCCTTACCAAGATCCCAGCAATACGACGCAGTGCAATCTCTAACCTCTGGCCCCATGCAACTCCTCATGTCCTTGGACATTCCGAAGGGCAGGAGGATAGAACGCCCAACCAACACACGTCTGCAAACACGACCTCTACGACAGCTCAACAGCCAAAGGCAATCCTAACACCGCGACACTCATGCAAACCCGTTTAGGTTCTAAAGTCCGGAACCCCGCCCAAATCTCAAGATGCCGCTAGTGTATAGGATCCTAATTCGAAAAACTGGCTAAACCAACAAAAGGAACTGCAATAGAGACTATAGGTATGTTCGGGCAAGACGAGGCTCTGCGGCAAGATGGCGTGTGATTTGATCCAGCGCGGCCTCTCTGGGAAAGGGCGTGCGCTTCCATCAGGGTACCAAGTACCTGTAAGGTAGGGGCCTTAATAATTAGAATAGCGTTTTGGGGTATCTTCTTCTTTCGTAAGGCTTTGTGTCCACGTCGAATGCAGGTGAAACAAAGAGAGAGGGCAGGACAAGAGCACTCCCGGAAAAATACAGTAATTATAAGAAGGACCCCCCCCAAAAATAGTATAGGAGATTATTAAGACTACTATATTAGAGTGTATTTGCGCTTCGACACTGGGAACCTCCTAGAGGCCAACTACTGCATACGGGGACCTCCAAAAAGCACCCGCAAAACAGCCAAAACATTGGGAGATCCCATAATTAACCTGGTCCCCCAACAGGACAAAGCTGTACGAAGTCTTGAGCAGCCCAGAATGGGTTCATCCATGTAGTATATACGAACCTTGAGGCACAAGAACCCCCTCGAACCAATATGTGACCGAGACAAGGATCTCGGCAGAAGGGTTCCTCCGATATGGGGCTTGCTTTACAACACGGATCCGACCACCTGGGTTTGCTATGATGTGGGTCCACGACTGTTCTGACATTCACAAAAATGACTTTCCGGAACAATCGTCCAGGGATCCTTCTTGAACCCGTTCTACACCCTTATGAAGCCCTATCCATGAGCCCCTGCCGTCCTGAGTCGTGTCGTAAATCTAGACCTACCTGTTCATCTCGAGTATCCGCCTTGCCCCTCAACCCCTAAGAGGGTTTGTGCCTTCAAGGTTTGGGGACTAGTATGCCGCCTTGCTCGAGCTGTAGGCGGTGTGATTTGGGAAGACCAGCGACGATGACATTGATGAAATATTCACCTCCAGTGGTGGGGTTCTCAAATTCAGAGTCCCCAGTATTGCAAAATGACATACTGTTCCTAGGAATCCACGACCCAAGCTGAACTAACCCCCGCCTCAGAGCACAGGTGTGCAGACAGTGAGGGATTAGGCTATGTCGGAGCTTCATGGACAGGTCAGCCAACCTTTCAACAGTACCGCGTGACAGGAGGCCCTGGGGCTCCAGTTTTAGGGTTTAGGGTTACCTAGATAATGGGTTCGGGGCCTTGTAGGGGTTCGGGTTCATAGGGGTTGATCGTGGGCTTAAGGCTGATAGGGCTTGGAGTGAAGAGTGTAGGGGGTATAGGGGCCTATTCGGTTTAGGGATTGCGGGGTGCATAATCTGTGAATACTAGCTTACTATATTTTGTGTGGCTGGAGCCCTGGAAAAGGGTTTGTGACTTGCGCTTTCTGTCTCTCTCGGGTAGTGTATGGAGCCACTGACCAAGCAACCCTAAACCAAGGAATGATTCACCCTAACCCTCCAGGTGCCTACCATATGGGGTGTAGGGGCTCTGGTACCCTATATCAATATAGTAGGTACCTGCACTCTGGCTCTTGGTATTGCAGGTCAGTGGCAATCGCTCCAGGCCGTCCTTGTGCGACCCGATCCTGCGACGGAAAGAGAGTTTGAGTACACTCTTGGTGCGGTAATATAGGGTCCTAGTTGCGTTAGAAGAGTGGCTTTGGGGTTTGTTTTAGTGTAGGTACAGTAGGCCCAGGAAGAGTATTGTAACCTGGTGTATGCGGAAAGTTTCTTGAACTTGAAACTGTTTGAAAATGAAAATCAGTGCGGGGTCCAATCTAACCTTTGGTGTACATTGTAGGGTCATGCCAGCCCGGACATGAGCCGCCTGGCGCGATCGGGAATGCCTCACAGGATGTACTTTTGGCTTCTGAATCCCATCACAGGGCGGGTTTATAGTCAGGAGTACTACATTCATCCTAAGACCCTGAAATACTAACCCTAAACTCTAAACCCTAAACCCCAAACCCTAAGACCCTGAAATATTAACCCTAAACCCTAAACCCCAAAGTCCAAGACCCCAACACCCGACTGCAGTCGACCTTCGCAAAGAGCTGCGCCAGACGTAAAGGTGCAGCTGCATTGACAGCAAAGCCTCAAATCCATGCTTCGCGAGATCGTGTCTGAGGGTTTCGGGATTGAGAGGTTTTGGGGTTTGGAGCTGACATCAAAACCACCCTTCAAGACCCATAGTTCCTAAACCCTAAGCCCTGAACACTCAACCCCTGAACCCATAAACTTGTAATTTCAGCAGCCCGGAACCCGAGCCAGCTTTTACATACCAGTAAACCTGAACCTCAAGCCCCGATATCCGGTGTAGGCACGGTTTGGGGTTTAGGACTTTTAGGGCCTAAGGTTTAGGGGTTTAGGGGTTTAGGGGTTTGGGGGTTTGGGGGTTTAGGTGGTGACCCTACTTATCACGCCTAAACCCTAAACCACGAACCCTAGGCCCTTAACCCTAAACCCTAAACCTTAAAC